TTAAAAAACATAAGTAATAGAATATTCTAAGACAAAGACAATATACTAAGTTGTCATGTTTTATAATTTAAGAACTTGAAAATGGTATTGTATGTTATAATTGACTTTAAATTTTGATTTAAAATTTTGCATAGATACTTTAATCATTTTTGTGTGTATAATTGTAGATGAAGCAAAGATTTAAATGAAGATTAAATGGTCAAAGAAAAAAAACCCTAGAGTGACACATATGTAAGAGTTAATTCAAAAAGCTTTTAGTGACTCTAAATATTGAGGCTTTCAACTAAGTAGCTCTTAATCACCCTTTGATCATCTTTTTAATAGTGTTTAGTGAGTTATGATCAAGGATATGAGCCTCCATGTATTAGATTATATTCGGGCACCTTTTTTTTGACATGGGGGCTTCATCAGCAATTTCCTGTCCAGTTTGAAGATAGTATCCAAGTATAGATTCAAGCTTGTCACTTGCATGATTGTCTGGAAAGGATCAAATCTATTTCCATGATGAGTGATCTGATTTCTCCTCCACCAAATCATACTAGTCATAGTGGTAATATTACTAATCCATTGGATATTATCATCCTTCGTAAACTTGTTTAGAGAATCAAGGAGCCAGTCTTGATAATTTCCATGGTGATATTGTCAGTCCTGATGCCAAAGGCAACAAACCACAACAATCATGTTTGATTGCAAGAGAAGAATAGATGAGAGGATGATTCCTCTTGATCACATCTAAAAGGACAGAATATTTGAGTTAAGATGATGTCTTCTTAAAGTCTCCCCTGTAGGCATGCAATCATTAAGAATTTTCCAAACAAGGAGAATATGTTTACAAGGGATTTGTAATTTCCACAAATCTTTCCAGAAGACAGTCTTATGATTTAGAGAATTCATTGATGAGTTAGCTCGAGGAAGATAACCATCTTTCACAGTGTAAGCACCACTCCTATTTCCATCCCAAAAAATTGTCTTCAAATTCACAAACCAGAATTGGTTGATTTAAGATGGTTGATCCTATGATTGGATCATAATTGATTCACCAAAGATTCATTCCACTGAAAAGGTGTCTAGGGATTATGGGTATGGGTTGTGAGATCAGAGACATGAGAGATTGGGATATGAGAAATTTGTTCTTTCATGGGCCACCAAAAAGGGATTGAAATATCAATTCTATTTCCTCTACCAACAATTTAGGAACAATCATATCAGCACATTCCCATTTACCTTTCCAGTACCATGGAGAATTGTAAGGCTTTTTGACAATCTCAGGCTTTGAAAAATCAATGTATTTGACTTTTGAGAGTATTTGCCACTAAAGAATCTTCCTTAGCATCAATTAAGCGCCAAATTTGTTTGGCGAGGAGGGAAACGTTGATATCATGAATAGATATAATTCCTAAACCCCCTTCAGAGATAGGTTTGAATAAGCAATTCCTGTGTGTTAAATGCATCCTTTTCCTATCTCCATTTAACCCCCAGTAAAAAAATCAATACAGTGAGAATCAATTATCTTGCAATATTTCTTTAGGAATTTTGTAAAAATTTACATATACGTTGTATTATTATAGTTAGAATTTTTTTTTTAAAAAAATTATGTAGGCTATCAAGCTTGGCCTTAAACCCTATTAATAAAGGCTGAGTTTGAAAAAAGTGCTAATTATAAGACAAGAGGACTTATGAGCTTCAGCCCTTATGAGTCAAACTTATAAATTAAAGATTAGAACAGCTCTTATTGACAGCTTTAATAATACCTCTCCAGCAAAATTTTAGTGAAAAGGTTCAAAAATTGAAAATCATATATATAATTTTGAACTACATTTAATTTTAGACCAGTGTTTTGAAACCTCGAACCAGACGTCGAACTAGAAAGAGCAACATGTCACGGTTTTTATGGTTTTACTAGTTAGATTGACAGTTGAACTGGTGACATAAAAATAAAATAAAAAAATTTATACACACAAATATATAACCAAAACATTAATTTGTCAATAATGCTTGAGATTTTGATGTCAAAAGCTAAATGCCTAGATTACTAGAGCTAGAGGTAGAGGTATGTTGGCACAAGTTCACAATCTCGAAGCAAAATGCTGGAACCGGAGGCAAGCTGTCAAAACTCACAAGTTTTCAATATCAATGTCAAAGGCTGGATCACTAGAGTTGGAGGCAAAGGTTAGAAGAGAGGTCATAAATTGAGCCTAGCCTGTGGAGGAAATATTAAATATTAGAAAAGAGAAGATAAAAGAGAACTAGACATTAGAGAATATAAATCACGAATTTGAGTGACTTAGCTTAAATTTTTTGTTGTCTTTGACCTCGGGTTGACCCACTCTGATTTTCGGGTCAAATCTAATTCTCTTAAAATTGACCGAGTTAACCCAATTCAAATACTAAATTAGTTTAACTGGATAGACCAAGCTATTTTGATCAATAGTTAAAATAACGTTGAATGGCGAAAATAAAAAAAAAATACTATTCTTGCACAGTTTTTTTTTTTAAACTAAAGTTTGAAAGATTAAAAATGCAAAACTTGAATATTGAAGAACTCTTTCTTTAAAAAAAAAACTTATATATTTAGCCTTATGTATTGATTATCTCTTCTATAACAAATTCTTGTTATTAATATTATTAATATATTATTTATCTTGATTATATATATATATATATATATATGTATGGTTAAGTATCTAAATCCTACTTGTTTTTAAATAAATTACAAATACCCATACGTTTATGTACCTACCCTTACTTAAAGGGAAAGATAATAATAAAACATATACTCAACACATCGACACACCTATTTATTCCTTCATCGCATGAGGCATAAAGACCACAGTCACAACCTTCTTCCTCCAAGGAATGTGGGGTGTCATTAAATGAAGAGGCTATTCGCAAATATTGAAAAAGTCTAATTCAATAGCATCTCTTTAAATACCATATTTATTTTTATTTAGGCTAATAAACCTAATTTTATTTCTGCCTAACCCAACTCATGTTTCTGTTAAGAAAAAGGTGGTTACTTTTAGAGTTTTAGTAAAAATAATAACCGAAGCATTTCGGATAAACGACATAAAAAGGGAGGAAGTTTAGGGAAAATTGTAGTTAGCGACCCTTGATTATGGAAGCTAAAAGCTGCCAAGGGAAAACATTTCAACAACAGAACAACAAAGACCCACATAGATCATCTAAAAAATTCTACCAAATTCCTATATCAATGATGATAACCATGCATTCCATTAGTAGATCTCTTTTTAAGTATCTAACAATAATGACCCCGTTTGGTAGTAAAGAACTAGAGTAAGAGAAGTGTGAAAGTGAAACACATAAACTTGTGCCTTTGGTTTGCATCCAAGTTCTTTAGGAAAGTAAATTCCTTCATGTTAAGATTACAAAGAGTTGAGTAGAGAGAAGAAGATTGTTCATTCACTATTGTGAATGAACATGACACAACATTACATCATCAAAATCCTTCACTTGAAGGATTTAAAGCCACACACATAATTCATCCCTTAGTTAAACGCAATGAGAACTAATCCCCATATGGAGTGAGGTAAGGTGAGGGAACACAAAATACCTCCCTATCCAAAATCCCTAGCCTTTAACCATATTTATAGACTTAAGTTAACAACTAACCATTATTAACTAACAACTAATCATGATTAACAACTAATATTCCAACAATTTAAATCTCAAGGAATTGGGTTTCTTGGGTAGGTCCGTGGAATTGATTTCCTCCTTCATTTTCTCTCTCATTTTGCCATCAGTATCTTTACTAACATAAACAATTTTCTTCTCCTGTTTTGTGAGCTTCCTTACACTCAGAAAATAAACATCTTGGAGGGCTCCTGTACCAAGGGGTAACCATAGGAAAAAATGCTGATATAATGTATATATATTCATGTAATCCATTCAATTGTACGTAACTTTATGTGTATGCTACTCAAATTTGATTTTTACCTTTAAATGTGTCGACTGGCATGTCACGCATAAACATTTTACTTCTCTCAATTTTAAATATAAGAGCTAGTTAATTAGTTCACATAGATTAAAAAAACTACATACATTACCTTTTTGTAAAAATGTGTTCTGATTTTTTTTTTTAAAAAAAAACCCCAATTGAAAGAGTCACAAGCTGTATGATGGTAATTCAACTTCGCAATAATCTAACTATAGGGGTAATTTGAAAAATAATAAAAAATAAAGAGGATAAAGAAGATTCAAATATTGTATTTATAATCAAAACAAACTTTTCAACTAGCTTATACATTTAGGATTGGAGAGTGTACTTAGTTAACAATATCTGTTGCATGTCATGAACAAGTTATATTATTCTTATATAATGATTCATATGTGCCTGAATATATGTCCAGGTTATTATCAATACACACACGAGAACATACATCTGACGATAATCTCAATGGTCAACCTTTTTGAGAGGTGAGGTAAAGAAATTAATTATTTATGACCTATCATCAATAGATTTTCTAGAAAATGTGTACAAAAACACAAAATAAGTTGTACAATTTAGATTTGACTCATACGGGAACTCTTAAAAAATCTAAATTGAACTTTAAATCATATAATTGGGAAAAATTTTTACAAATCCTCCTACAATATTTAGGAGCCAAACTTAAAAATTCGCAACTTATCTGATTTGTTCTTACACAAATTTGGTGACCTTTGCAGGACTTAATAGCAATTGATTTTCTTACTTAGGAATTATATCTATTTTTTTTAATAATCATTTTCTTTCTTATAAAAAGTACACCGCTCGATTATAATTTTGCCCAGAATGAATTGGTTTTTGTATTTGACCCCAAAAAGTAACAGAATTGACTTTTGTACTTATAAACTTTTTTAAAAAAACATTTATAAAAAAATGATATATAAATGGGGTTGCATTTGAGGTCAATCTGTTGATTTTACAAATCATTACTCCAAATAATTTTAACACCCATGCACCTGAATTCCTAACCTAATGTTCATAACGAGTACTTGGCAAGTACAATCCAAAATTTCTATTTTCATAAAAATCAATACACATGGTACATTTAGAAAGAGGTTAAAAAAATGGAAATAAAATATGCAGGGAGTGGATAAGAGTCTTAGACATAATCATGTTTTTATTTGACATTGTCTCTCAGAATGTATGACCGCGTAAACATGAGATTAAATCCACTGTCAATTAGATGATACTAGCAGATTAGTTGCTGTGGGTGAAGTTTTAGTAAGAAACTACCAAACTAATCCCTTTCTTCTCCTAAACCTATCAACAATGTCAGTGCTCATCCTAGACTTTTCAGGTTTGTTTGATTTTCTAGACTTGTCTAGGCGACTATCTAAACTGTTTCTAGAAGCTTCTGGAAGTACTGAACCCAATACAGATGCATCAGAAGTTCCACTCTCAGATTCTTCTTTGTTTGCTTTGCCATGAATATCAATTTCTACAGAACCATCCTTGCTAGAAGCTTTAGCTTTAGCTTTAGATTTGGCAATTGAGTGTACAAATTTCTTGAGATGTTTAATGAATTCTGGGTAAAGCTCAAGATTACAATGGCCACCACCTTTTACCCATAAAGGTTCATACTTTACCTTGCAAAGCTCCCAAAGCTTCTTTCCATGGGACCAATGCACAACTTCATCTGATGTCCCCTGTGCATTGATGAGCAACGAGGTGAGAGGGAGGGAGGGAGAGAGAGGAAAGCCTATTGGTTTCTAACAAAAATTTGAACCTTCAAATTTGATTCTAACAAATTTAGGTAGCTTCTTGGTTGGTGGATTTAGATTTGAATTTTATATTTGAAATCTCATATTTAAAAGCTCTCATTTAAAATTCATATATTTAAAATCGTTTTGTATTAATAGTGGAAAAAAAATCAAGGGAAGAAGAGAGACAAGTTGAGATTCAAAGTGAAAACAGAAGATCGGGAATAACGAACTTTACTTTTCAATTGGTGAGAAACAAGGATGAGGAATGAGAGAAGAGGCAAGAGTAACAAAGGCACTATTAGTGAAGAGAGAGGGGGGGTCGGAGTGGATGAATTTTCAAACAACTAGTGTGTAGAGTGAATTTGAAATTATTAAAGAATTATAATAAAGAATGGATTTGGGTCAAATCCAGATCCATAGAATTTTATGCATCCAAATAAAGAATTAGGCCCAAATTTAAACAAATTCCCATTAATCTAAACATAACATTAAAGTTGACCTATCTACTAAGACTAAAATAGGATTAACCATTCTTGCTTTCTTAAAAGAACACCAGAATGCGCACATTTTGAGAGGGAAGAGTCACTTACATGAATAACCAAAACAGGACAGTTCACCAAGCATATTTTATCAATGTTCTGGATAATGAAAAGAAAAGAAACCACATGAGTTCCTATGTGAGGAAGGAAACAAATTAATTCAAATCAGCAATAAAAACTCTACCTTGTAAATATCAAACCAGTATGTCCGTTTTAAAGGATACAGCACTCTCATCCCAGATAAAATTGGACTGTGCAACACAACACCTCTCAATTCTGGTACTCGTGAAGCAAGATCAAGTGTGGGCCCACTGCCAACAGATTGACCATACAGTATTAATCGATCATCTTTCACCCCATATTGATCTTTTAGGCATTTATATGCAGCATCAATATCTGCATATGTATTCGATTCAGTTGGCTGTTTCAACAGAGAAAAAAGCGGTGTTTGTTCAGTCACACGAAAGAATGGAGCTACAGATCCAATAATAAAAATACATTAATGGCAAACATTGTTCATAGTCCATCAGATAAACAAAGTAATCAGTCCACAAAATCCAGATTTTCCATGAAATCATTTAAACGCATAAAATATTTTTTCTTCTTTTCATATTCAATTCCATGTGAAGCTATAAATATTGAAACTGTTGCTATAGCAAATTATAACTGTCAATGAAAGTCAAACAATAGAAAATTCATATGACAATTCTCCAGTTGATGATGGAAAAACAACCAGAGGAAAGAAGTACGATGCTGCCACATACTCCAAACTTAAGGAACTCAATCCAAATTGCAAAAGAGCAAGAATACTTCCACAGTATTTCTAAAAGTTTTACATACTTTGATGCATGTGTTTCCATTCGCTCCAAGATGGAAGGAAAAAAGCACAAAGATTTATAATTCTTGGAAAATTGATGTTGGGCATTGTTGACAACCACCAGGAACAGTCAGACTCACTAAAATGACTGGGGCATCCTGTTTCCAGAGAAGCTCGCTCACCAACAGAACAATATAGGCTTAAAGGAATAGAGAACAACATAACATCAAAAGGAATTCTAGCGAGAGTGAGTTAAATAACCCAAGCCAAGATGGCAGCAGCGGCCTCTACCAGTTAGTGCCAGCCTGCTTGTGATGGGGATCAATCTGAGATGACTCACGAGTGGTTAACTGAAGCAGGACTAATGACTGACCTTTGGACAATTGCTTTTTTTACTCCTAAAGTAAGGTTTAATAAACAATTTCAGGAAAAAAATTGTGTGATAGCCAAAGTTAAATTAATTCCCATTTGATCGTCCTGAGTCCGGACAAAAGGTTCAAAGCTGCACAATAAATGCCAGCATTTGACTTTAAAACAAGTTATCAAGTTTCACGGGTCATGCTGTGATAAAATTTTCCTTTCCTTACCATTTCAGCAAAACATTGAACCTAAACAAAACCACGTTAGAAAGTTTGCTGTCAAATAATAGTAAGAAAAAAGAACCGAGACCATATGGTATAATCATACAGGATGGTATGGCAATCATCAAATACAACCCAAAGTCAGCTTTTCTAAGAAAGTCCTACAGAAATTCTCAAGGTGGTTTCATGTGCTTTTGGCAGCAGTTATATTTTCTGCAGAATGGGCCAGTGATGTAGTGTAGAGGTCAGACATTGGAGATAAAATATGAGAATAAAAGGCAGGTAAGAAAAGAAACAAAGGAAAATTGGTAATCACTGAAAACTACTAACCAAATCTTAATAAGCAAACCTTAAAGCACCCTAGGTTTTTTAGGATATGAAATACCATGTCAATATTTGGTAGCAAACCAAATAAAAACTCTACTTGATTACAAGAATATTAAATAAACCAAAATATTGTCCATTAAATTTAATGTCTATTAAATTTAAATCCTATTTCCTGATAAGGCTTGTTCTTGTTGTTGTTGTTGTTGTTCCCAATATTAATGCTAATGGCTAAATTAGAAACATCAAATCAAAACCTAAATGCGCACAAGGACTTGCCTTTTCAGTGAAGATAAGATGCAATGAGAAAGAAAAGATGAAACAAAAGAAAAATCATAATAAAAACCCTAATAACAATTTAGCTTAAGTTAACATGATGAAAGATAAAGCTAACAATCTCATCGCTCTGATACCTAGGGCTCCCTAGGGGGCACGGCATGCCATCTCTCTTCACTTTTGCAGTTCAACTCTGCATTGTACATCCCCAGATGTTTGCCATCTGCCACATCTCTCATCTTAGGTGATAATCTCTAAATGTAACAACAGGCCTTGATTGATGACAAACCACTTTGCATTGAGCAGTCTCTCAAATGATATTTACACTCAAAGCAAAACCAATCAGTATTTTCTTCCATCCTCAGATTCTTTCCAATATATGAGTCTGATGAGGATGGAGCTACAGCAGAAGAAAAGGACCAAAATGATTTTCAGTTATTCAACCCTAGCCATGGGTTGAAAATGGACTATGCCTATAAAAGACCATGGGTTATAAATGCAGAGAAGAAACCAAGCTTCTGGCCATGGGATAAAAATACTTGTATCTTCCCTGTTTGCCAGGTTGGGTACTCAGGATTGCTAATTCAACAAACTGCAGAAAGCGTGATTTGGGTTAATAATACCCTTCTTCATAGCAGTACCTAGGCCCCAGAGATCCTCTCCTCCTTTCATGTCCTAATATATCACTTGTATCTTTGGCAAGAAATGCAAAAGAATATTTTGGCCATTTTAAATACAATGACATGAAGATAACTCATAACTCTGTGTAAAGAAGTAAAGAAGAATTCAAAAGACAGGCAACTGACCTTTCCTGTTGATCGTCCATAACCAGAGTAATCATAACTGCAGCAAAGAACAATATAAAAGATAGTTATTATATAATCTCAGGGAACAGAAAAACATTGTGCCAGAAAAAGCCATTTAGAAAACACAGAAATATTGAAAATACAACACTTCATTATAACTAAATCATTCCCATACATATTTTAACATGAATAAAACTAAAGAATTTCATTTAAAATATTCTACTTAAAGAAAGTCAAGACAAACACAGTTTTGAGGCGGCTTTAAAGCAGATTTCTAAACTGTTCACAAGGTTGTCAAATGTTGAGGTGGGCACTAAATGAGAAGTCCAAAACAGGTTATCACACTTTCGATTCTCCTCTGGATTCCTAGCCTTGCTGGAAGACAACAATACTGAACCAGGACAGGTGAGGTCAATTCAAAAATGGTGGTGTCTTTGGTTTTAAAATTTCAAATGTTGAATGAGGAACGGGAATTGTAATGAGCAGAAGAATGCAATGATAAACAAGGCTTTGAATCAATTTATTATGTAATAAGAACATGACACACGTTGCGCGTGCGCGTGCGTGTTTGTGTTTTAAATAAAATGGGACAGCCAAAATAAAACTCCAAAAACAGTGGCTGGTTGCCCATTTATAAGCAAAAGAGGGACTAAAATAAATCTAGGCCCCAAATACCAAAAAGCCGAAACTCAATCATAAACCCTAATTAACAAATCGATTCAGAAGACTTATGAAAATGGCATTTCCATCATTTGCAGTTTTCTATAGATGTTAGGAACCTTCCTGTTCTTGAAAGTACTTCTCGGAGTACAAGGGCCTTTAAAGACAAGAGTATGGACCAAGAGGGGGGAAAAACAAAAGAAAAGGCAGTTGTACTATAAACACGAGGAGCACTCAATTAGAGCTAAATTATAGGACAAACTGTTGCATATGCCCATTACAGCATAAAACGATCTTTAATAAACTAAAAAGGAAATTAATGATTGAACAAATAAGAATCGTTCACTTTTTTACGAGTATTACTAATCAATCTACGCAACTCCCAGAAATATGTATGCATCCAAGAACATTTCCAAACAATGTTAAGGTCAGTTTTAAAGGTTGAAAAATAACAGATAATAGCAAAGAAGAAAGAGCTATGATTATCATACCCCATAACATTGAGGCGAAGTCTTCTGCTCAATTCGACGAAGAGCTCAAACATCTGACCCAAATCAGCAGCATTGCCATGTGAGTAAAGCATAGTACCTGTCGCCTTGTGATGCTTGACATAAACAGCAGCGATATCGTTGCCTCGCCGAGTCCGAAGCTTAAGAACATCAACGTTGTCCTTCATGGGAACCTCAGGAATAGAAAATCGACCAGCTTGGTCGGAGATCAAAGTGTAGGAAGGTGGGTTTGGGGGGAAGAAGGCGAATTTGGCGGCGATTGAAGAGGTGACTCCGCCCATGTCTTCTTATAATCCAAAGGCCCAGAATTCATAAAGGCAGGAACTTCTTGTGATCTTTCAGTTGCAGAAGATGAACAGGCATGGAGGAGCACAAGGCGGCGCGTGGGTGGTTGCAAGGAAGGTGGGGGCCAAATGCATCAATCAACTTTTTAAACGTTGAAGGCTCTGATTTCATTGGGAGTGAGACTTCTCAATGCGACATTGCGCAGTTGTCGAGTGAGGGACGGTGACTTTAAATTTTGTGCGGTTATTGTAGTCTTGCAGACATAACAATACCAAATTAACTACCACACTCTAGCCGGGGAAAAAAGGCAGTTAAACCCCCTCCGTCACTGTATAATAGCTGTTTTTAATGGAATTACGTAAATTAATAAAAATTAATTATTTAAATGACTCATTCATAAAATAAAATCAATTAAATTAATTTTACTTTTTTATTCCCAGATTAAATTTATTATTAAAATATAATATATCTATTATAATTAATCTTTAACTGACTGGATCTTTTCTTTATTTTTTGTGAATCATTCCTTTTTTCTCTGATTATAAAATTGCCGATGCCTTTCTTTATTGTAGAGTTTTTCTTCTTTATCCCTCTCTATTTTTTTTAAGAACATTATGAAGAGGACATTAGATATTGAAGAGGAATTTTTATTTCTGGAAACAGAAGACTGGGTTAAAATCTACATCTATCATAAGATTTTCACCATCTTCACATGTTTCGATAACATCAAATTTTTTGTAGATTGTGTTGATTTATTTTGGGCAAATGATTATATATTTTTTATGTTATTAATCTGCGATACTATATCATTGATGTGTGTGTGTATCAATGATAAACAGGTTTATGTCTAATTGTCTAGTTTTATTGATATACGATAGTAAATCAATGATATACAGCAATATATCAATAATGTAATATCGCAAATCAGTAACATATAAAACACATAATCATTTATCCAAAACGAATCAAACACAATCCACAAAATTTTTTAGACATTTAGTTTATCACAAAGAGTCAAATATCTAAACTAATAAAATAAAAAATCATGAATCTATAGATCCATTTTCCTGCTGACATGCTCTGTTCTATTGAGTATCGTCAATGTCTCTTACCTCACATTTGTCTTTCACGGTCATGACTGTGGCTTGCTTACATTGCTATGCTGTCTCGCGTTCGTCTCTCTCACGTCCAGTTCCGTCTTTTTTCTCGCATTCATCTCTCTTGTTCTAGAGATTTCTTGTTTTGAATCTTTTGGTATTTTGCAAAAAATATATATTAAAAGGGCAGTTTTGTAAATTAATTATAAACTAAATATTAAAAGGCCATTGTTAAAATTTAACAAAGGATAGGCTATTTTTTTTTACTTAGTCTTGTGATATGAGTTATGTGTACAAAATCCCCTTTATCTTTTACTTTTTCAAATTTAATAAGTGTATAGTGGTTCATTCATTAAAAAAATTATGCTAACAGCATCTTACTCTCTCTGTTTTTATTTATAGAAGAAACTATCATTTTTAGCTTATTTTTTATGTAAGCAAAATTATATTTTTAATAAGCATTTATTGTAAACTTTTTAAATTATCCCTCATAATTTTATCATTCATAATCATAAAAAATAATTAATAAAGGTTTGATTAACACAACTAATAAAGGTATTATAATTTAATTCTTTTATTTTCAAACACAATTAATATAGTTAATATATTTTCTTAAACAGTGAAATATAGTTTTTTTTTCCTTTTACAGATAGAAATAGAGGGAGTATATTTAGGGACAAAAAAATTTAAAAAATCTCTTATATATAAAGGTGGAAGGGGTACATTATTAAATGTGTAAAAATGATTATAAATTAAAAGTCAATACTGTATTAATTATAATTAATTAATCACTTCTATTCCTTCCTTCCCTTTATAAGTCATTAATGCAGGTAAAAATGAGGTTTAAAAATATGTTTGACATGTTTATAGAATTGAGATATTATTTTTATTTAATATTAATATTAAAAATATAAAAAGATTAAAATGTCATCGTTCCAACGAAATTTGCCCCAACCAAGATAGAAGGGACACCTCCAGTAACCTTGATCAAAACAAAAATCTTTCGCCATATACAAAAATAGGGACCAATATTGAAGGGCTTGTTTGGTTGTTGTTTTCATTTTTTGTTTTCAAAATTTGTTTTATAAAACAATTTAAAAACTGTTTTTGAGAACAAATAAAAAAAAACTTGTTTGATAATAGTAATTCAAAAATTTATGAGATGAGTGATTCTCTTTTTATTGAGACAAAAATATAACGTTTGCCATTAACGAGAACAATTCTCATTTCTTATTTCTCATTTTTTTCTCTATAAAACTAAAAAGAAATAGGAACAGAAACAGCTAAAAATTGTTTTCTTATTTCCCACTTTTCTCTATAAAACTAAAAAGAAATAGGAATGGAAACAGCTAAAAATTGTTTTGGTTTTCTTGTGTTTAAAAACAAAAAATTAAAAACTATTTTCAAAACAAAAATTAAAAAATCATTAACCAAACAAGGTTTTTTTTTTTTAAAAATATTAAAATAAAAAACAGCTTTTAAGAATGGTAAACAAACCGGCTCTAAGTCCCTAAACTTGTCACTTTCATCACTTTGGCACTTCCATGCTTGGCTCTTCTAATGTTCCAGTTCCACCTTTATTTAATATGAATAACGTTAAAAACTTTTTAATTTTTTTGGCCAGAATTTATAAGTTTTAAGGTTTTTTCTAATTTTCCTACTATTAATTTAACACTTCACATTTTCAATCCAATTATTCTACATTTAAAACTATGTTTGCTATGATCATTTTTAGTGCAACTGTGACGTGAGTATTATTTAATTATAAATTCCTCAAACTATCTTTGCTATGATCATTCTACTAATTTAGCTCTTTAGGGAGGGTCGTGACAAATTCCTCAAACAAGCCAAAGCAAGAATGAAACATGGAAAGTTGAAGCCAAAGTTGCAAGATTAAAGGCAATCAAACGAAAGCTAAAAGAGATAATATATCAGCTAGTAATGCCTTCATGATCCCTCGAATCAATAGCATCATGAGCTAAAATGAGATGAAGAGAAAGTATTGGTGAATCCACCTATCACTCAGGTCTCACTTTCTTTCCAACAACGACGATGACAAACAACAAGCCTTTATCCCACTAGGTGGGGTCGGCTACATAAATTACAAAATGTCACTGTGCTCTATCATTTATCAAACTTTTAGGAATATTATTAATTAAGAGATCGCGTTCAACAACTTCCAAGAGTGTTCTCTTCCTAACAGACACTACTATATAATCAGCAGCAAAATTACCTTTGTTTTTTGTGAAAGAAAAGGAGAGACCAGCACGTGATGCAGTCATGCAGCCAACTCTAAGATATCTTGAAGAAAATAATGATATCCTTGCCACTCACAACTCTTAGTAGAAGTAGATTGTAAACATACAAAAAAGATCAGCGTTATTAGTTTCTACAACATCTGTAAGAGTAAGCTGATGAGCTCTGTTAATAACAGAGCTTTCTGAATGTGTTAACAGAGCAGAATTAATGGCCATTCACAATGCTCTATTACATGATCAGGAATTTTATGGTTAAAAACAACTTCATTTCGTTCCTACCAATCCATATTAACCATACAAGCCATACTAACAACATCAAATTTATCAGGCAACACATCTGAAAACCATATGCTTCAAAGGAAGTGATATTGAATCTATCAATTCTGAGAAATAATTGACATCCAAACCGTATGCATCTGACCTATGGGCAGAAGAAAAATAAATGATGCCAACAGATTCGGGATCATTGAAACATATCGGACAAAGAGGCACACTAGAGCAATGTGCATATCATTTGTAGGAACAGCCTTAGAACAACTTCATTCTTTACATAATAAAAATGTAATTTGAAATATAAATGATCATTTCATTTAATTTGAATGATAATTCCAAATATTGATAATCAAATAATCATCAATCATAGAGGTCAATTCACTAAATACTTCATAGGGAATTTGAATCAATTAATAAGGGAACTGATCCAACTTAAAGTTTTAAGTTTTAGTTATGCAACTATATAATTAAATTCTTTGCGAAAGGTATGTCTCACAAAGAAATGAGAACCAAAATAAACCAAAATAATAGTACTGATTAATAAACCAAAAAAGATCAATAGTACTGATTAATAAACCAAAATAATTTAAAAACAAAGTATGAATACATATGAACCACATAATGAGAACCAACAGGGATTGGCTCTATTAAAAAGGACTAGTCTCTCACAACATGGTGAACCAAGATTTGAATCTTTGCTTGAAGGGGTGCCCACTTTAATACTCGATTATGTTTCAAAAAAAAAATTGTCTCTAATAAGATGATACATATGAGTAATAAAAAAAGCCACATAGCAATACACCTTTACTCCTTTAATTTTATATAAGGTTTTATTTAGTCTCTTAGTTTTATAAACTATCTTTTCATCTATTTAACTCTAAACAAAATTGGTTTCATCAACCACAAATTCATACATTAAATTTTTAAATATTGATAAAACATTTTCAAATATTAACATATTAAATTAATTTTTTAAAAAATAATAATGATTAGCACAAAAAATACTCATTTGAAATTAATGGTCTTAGGATTAGCACTGAAAATATACTTTATAAAATTAAAAGATTAAATTAAAACTTTATATAAAGTTAGAGACAAAAATACACTTTAGCTAGCACAAAATTACATTTTATATATCAATTTTCTTTAATAACGATTGGCACAAAAAATCATTTAAAATTAACAGTCTTAGGATTAGCATTGAAAATATACTTTATAAAATTAAAAGACTAAATTAAAACTTTTATAAAGTTAGAAGACAAAAATACACTTCAGCTAGCACAAAATTATATTTTACATATCAATTTTCTTTTCACATATATTGTAAAGGATCGCTTTTAATTTTAAATTAGGAATGTATAGTATAGCTTTTAGTTCTTAAACTTTCTCTTGATTGTTGATTTAGTCCTTAAACTTTAACTTAATATAACATAATCTTTGTAGTTTATTGAGTTAATAAATTATAGGAACTCAATTGTTCAAAATCAAGAAATTATAGAGACTAAGTTATAAAGATAAAAAGTTTAATGACTAAATGAATAAGTGAGGAAAATTCAAAAACTAAAAGTTATGTTTCTCTATTAAATTATCTTATATGTGAGATAAAAGTATTTGTATTCCATTAACTAATATACTGATGAGCATACCATATTAATTAATCAGAGAAAATGAAATGTGAGGACAAGCGTCGTCACACACACACACAAAAATCAAATTTACGCATGGTGGATCCACCGCTACTAGTCAAGCCTTTTGAAGTTTGAACGCTTTTCAATAGGTTCATATCTGATAATTTAATACAAAGCCGGCTTGTTGAGAAATCGTAACATAGCGTTCATACTTCCTATTCAATATTGTTCACACACACACACACACACACACAAAGATAGAGAGGGAGAAAATAATTATTTGATTCCTGTAATTTTAACTTTTGTATTTAATTCTTAAATTTTAACTTAATCTAACTCAGTTCTTATAGTTCAATATCTAAATTTTGACTCAATTCACCTTAATTTTTATAATTTACTTTAATTGTAACTCAGTTTTTAAGTATTAACTCGGTGTAACTCAATCTTTATAATTTGAATTATAACCGTAGCAGAATCAATACTATGTATGAGTTGCTTCCTCAATCTAGCACCCAGGATTCTGATCTTGGCCAAGTTTCTGAATCCTCATCAGAGCTCAATTATCAGATTCCGTTAAGAGTTTCTATCTGAGGTTGTTTTTGCAGGAGGTATACACACTCATGTTTATCCAGTGTATTTGAGAATTTTCATCTTATAAAAGCTGTAAATTGTGAGAGATCACAGGATGAATTTGTTCTTATTGTTGCAGATAGTTTATGGAAAATGGAACCTGAATATGGGAGAGTGGAGGGTGTGATCAGAACTCTTACAGGTTACTGTGGAGTGACCTTATGAAAGCCCACTTATCCAGAGGTGTGAAAAAAAAATCAATCTAAATATACTCACACTTGAATATCTTAACAGACTCCATGATATCTGTTCTAATAATTAAGCTTATGATCTGTTTTCGATCCTCAGAATAAATAAAGGCATGCATGTTGTTAAGTGCTTTTGTTTATTCAAGATTTGCAGGTTTGTGAAGGAAGAACAGGTCATACCAAAGCCGTCAAAGTGATATATGACAAAACAAAAGTCACGTTCCAATCTCTTTGTGATCATTTCTGGGAAATTCATGATCCTACTAAAAAGGACTGCCTTGTAAGATTGCTCTCATCTTTTATTATATTCTCTCTTTAAACATATATTGATGTGATTCTTGCTACCTGGTTAATAGGATTTTTCAATCTTATTTTCAAGAAATTTTACAACTATTAAAAAAAAACATTAAAGGAACATCCTTATGGAAGCGCTTGTGAAATAGAATTCTCTTGAAAGAATTTACTGGATAGCGCTTCTTTAAATGAACATTCTCACAAGTCTTTCCTACTAGAGCGTTTCTTTGAGGAAGCTCTTGGTAAGTCCATTCTAAAGATAAAATACAAAAATAGAAATCTACCGGATCGCTTGTTTTTAAGAAATTTTTAGTGTATCAATGTAGCTATATGAGTTAGGGGCCTCTAATGTTGCAGAATGTTGGTGTAGATACCCACAAGAGATCTGCAATATTCTACAAAAATGAATCAGAGAGGGAGCAAGCACGAGAATCAAAGGTGAGGAAGCAGATGAGGCTTAACAAGAGGATTGTGACCCAAATTTTAGAATTAGATTCAGAGTTCTTCGAGGCAGTGGATCAGCATCAGAAGGTTTATCTTCAGAAGCACTTCACAATCTGTGCACATTTAGGTTTATGAAGCACCCAACAGTTTGTGGATTTAGAGATTGCTTGCAAGCTCAACGGGTAATATATGGTTCCACTGCTCTTTATAGGCTATATTATTAACTAATTAATAAATCCATAGAAAAAATTTTAAAAGATACCAATATATGGTAAAAGTTAAATTTTACTTTTAATTTATATATTCAGAAGTTTCTATGCTCATTAAAAGTTAAATTTTTTTTAATATAATTTTGCCCCTCAATATTTAAAAATGTCATGTGATCCTCCCTATTAATTATTAGTTAGCTTCCATTATTTTTATATTGCGAAGCTCATAATTTTTTTATCATATGATTTGATGGTCAATGTCCTTGTAACAATTAGTTATGGATACAATGTGATGTTTTAAAATGTTAAGGTGTAAAATTTTAAAAAAAAAAGTTTAGGGTTCTTCCAGCCCTATAATTTAAAGATAAAATTGCCCCATTATCTATATGGTTATAGTTTATGAATCAAAGCTAAATGATTGGCTGTGCAGGATTTTAGGGGTGGATGAAGCTGTGATTATTGATGGGCTGAGAACATTATTAAAAACTCACTACATGTCAAACCAAAATCAAACTAGCTTGTGAAGAACTGATTGGAGATTTAATGAAAAATCTCAAGGGAAACAACAAAAGCCTCTAGCCATCTCATTAATTTAAACTTTATATATATATATATATATATATATATTCTTTCAGAATTTTATATATCAGTAGTTTTTTTTTTACAAGATTTAATTGTCTTGCTTTAAGAACGGGAAAGACATGATTTATAAGTGTGACGCATGATTTCAATTATAGTATTTTGTACTCAGTTTTTTTTTTCTTCGATCCAAAATGGGACATGAATGGCTGGAAAAGTATAATTAAAAAGAAGGTAATTTTTTTAGTTTTTATCATATTGTTGAATAAAATAAGAATATGAAAAAATTTAATTACTAAAAAATAATGGCTTGAAGTTTTTACCATATTCCTAATTAATAAAAAAATATAGTTTTTCGGTTTAAAGAAAAAGAATGGTTTGGTGATGATTAGTGCCAGACACACAAGATATAAGCCAAGAATCCAATGCGATAATCAAAGGGAACATGATGAAAATATAAACTTAGTCCAAGTAATCAATTAGGCTATAAGATTTTTTCTTGCTAGTAATGGAAATGTGGGATGAGTCTAATCTAATTAATCAAGTTCAAGAAAAGCATTCATCACATGCAATGACTATATAAATTAATGGCATCAAATTAAAGATTAAGGTTTAAATTCTTCAATATACATACAAATAACATAAATAAAATTCACGTTAATCGTTTTGCTGTGGTTACTTATTTCCTTAACTGCAATTTATAATCATCGTTATTATTCTATAATTATTTGAGAAACACTAGAGGACAGGAATTAAACAAATCTCTCATGATATACTAGTATCTTTGAAATCATTTAAATAAAGTGAGTTTCATAAATTTTAAATATAGTAAATTCAGGACTTTATGAGCACTATAATGGTTTCTTAATCTTCCAATATTGAAACTCCTAACGCCATGGAAGCATTTTGCTTCGGCAAAATGTCCAAAAGCACTTCCATGTCTTTAGAATCTTAGTTGAAAATTGAGTGGGCAAGAACGAGGATATTGGCTTGACTATATGAAGATGTCTCTGTTTTTTTTTTTTTGGTTAAGTATTGAAGATGTCTCTGCGCAACGGTCAACAAATACTAAGGCAAAAGGCCTACTTATTAGGTCCAAATAGAAGATTGGGGCCTGGGCGGGCCTGGGCCTAAGACAAATTCAAAATTGTTTTTAACTTTCAGTTATTTAAATTTAATATTTTTTTAAGCAAAGCAAAAAAACAAATTATATTACGCTAAAAAATTACAGTACAAGACACATAGTTGGGTGAATTGGTCCCCTGCCATGTGATAAATTAATGTTTGAATTCTTATTAAAAAATGCAATCATATTTAGCATTTGATTGTATTTCTCATAAAATTACCTCAAATAAGTGTTGGATTATATACGTATAAAAAAAAAAGTTTTACATTGCTGAAGCTATAAGAAGTCTTTGTGTGTGTGTGAAAATTTAAGCAAGTAAATGGCCTAAGAAGAGAAATGGACTCGTGCACACAGCAATGAGTCAATATAGTTGAGATTCATCAGCTATTTTTCATGGTCTATTCATTAAGGATAATTTAGTCTTTTTACTTTAAAAAAATTACATTTAAGGCCTTTGGGCTTGTAAAGAAATATTAGAATCTATTGGCTTGTAGAGTAATTATGTTTCTTGGGTGAGCCATGTATTTATCTCCACAAATTATCAAACCCAAATTTTAAGAAAAATTAAGAGAATTCAATTCTGAATCATATCAAGCCTAAGCAGCAGGAACTCCCACCTAGATTTTGAATTATGTATATTCATAAAAGTAAATTTATACATACATTCATAACAGAAAATAGAAAGAAAAAAGATGGTGAGTGAATAATAATGATGATGACATCGAGAGCTTTATACAGAGAGAGTTTCTCAGCCTCAGACTCAACCTACTACCCTGAATACTAATAAGAAGATGAGGGAACTTCACCATTTAAATTAAAACATCCAATTGCCAACTCTATATCTGTATCAGCAATAACACAATTGCAATCAAAAAGTGATTTCTATATACAAAGCACATATCTGTTAATTGGCTCTCACTGATCTAACTATCCAAATCAACACTAAATCAATTTACTCTTGAGCCTATTCAAAGCACAACATATAGGCATCCTGAGAAGGTGAACCAAAAAGGTCTGTATATGACATATATAACACAATAAATTACTATTAGAAAATAGGATAGGTGTATCCTCTCATTTTCTTCTTAGAAAACATTTTTCTACCTATTAAAATATTGCATAAATTTATTACCTAATCTAAGTCTTACCAGCAGAAGGAGACAATAGATTCTGTGAAGAATTAGACGTAGAAGAGTAGCTAACCCATTTATCCGTAACTGAATCTGGTGAAAATGGGGCACTACCATTTTTCAAAAGCACAAGTTCTTCTACTTTATCCATCATCACCACTTCTTTTTCCCCTACAAACTCCTTCCTCTGAATTTCTCTCAAGATCTCAACCACCTCTTCCATGGAAGGTCTCATGTCTCTCTCCTTCTGCAAACACCTGAACGCTAATTCTGCTACTCCTATAATCATCTGCCTCACACCATAGTCCTTCTCGAACCCTAAATATGGATCAACCAACTCATGCACTGCTTTGTCTTGAATCTTATTCAGTGCCATGTTGGCTAAGTTTATGTCACGATGACTCCTAGAAACATCCACAGCTTGTAAGGATGATATAAGCTCGATTAATACGACCCCAAAACTATAAACATCACTCTTATCAGTGAGTTGAAAGCACTGGTAATACTCAGGATCGACATAACCAGGTGTTCCTTGGGGAGCAGTGGACACATGCGTGACATGGTTAGGGAACAAACGTGAGAGACCAAAATCAGCAACCTTAACTCTAAAATCATTGTCGAGGAGAATGTTGTTGGTTTTGACATCACGGTGTATGACATCTGATTTGTGAAGGAAGGATAGTGCTTCGGCTGTTTCTACAGCGATGTTCATACGTATAGGCCAAGGGAGCAAAGTTGAGTAAGATCGTTTGCCATGGAGGTGGTCGGCAACTGTTCCGTTAGGAATGTATTCATAGACAAGGATGAGTTCTCGACTATGTCTGGATGTACATCCATAAAGTGCCACGAGGTTGTCGTGTCGTAAGCGACCTAGAATCTCAACTTCATTCATGTATTGCTCCACACGCTTCGCGTTGCTTTCATAATGGCGTTTTACTGCAACTATACGTCCATCTTTTAGGGTTCCTAACAACAACAAAAAAAAAACAATAGTTTGAATGACATGCTATAAATTATGAAGCATAGGTAGTGTCAAACTTGTCTCCAGATTATTTGTCAGTTGCACCCAAAATTGAAGGGGCTAGAATCTATTTGTACTTTTCTTTAATGTCCTTTTGTAATATTTCACTTTCTCAATTTCTCTTTTTCTTCTTTGAGTTATTAGTTGCTACATAAAATAAAAGGCATTTTGGCATCTTAAGATCCGAAATGAAATAATTTTGTATTTTTTTATGATTTTTCAGAGATAAAAGTGTGTAATTTTGATTTCTTTTATTTAAAAAATCATAAAAAATACATAACTCTATCATTTGAGAATTTCAAGATATTACTTATTTTATATAAAAGCCAATCATATAAAGAAAAAGAAAAATTAAGTTGGGAAGGTGAGGTATTAAAGAAAGGTACATTAAACACTATTAACCTAATTTGAAATGCTTGCTACTTATCTGCTGTTTCCTAGTGTTCGGAATCTTAACCCATCATTTGGGTTAATGGTCAAAGAAGTTTCCTCTAATTCCCATGAATGAAAGGTTGAGATTTTGGACATTGGGGGCAGCAGAGTAGAGCAGGCAATAGACACCCTAAATACATTGCACACACTGTATTTTTTTTTTTTTAATTGTAACTTTTGCATGCAGTTGGACGTGTCATATTTCACTCTGAGAGATCTGAGACCCTAAATGTTGGAGAAAGTGACAGATATATATTTGAGGAATGATGTTTTTATTACCATAGTAAACAGTTCCGAAGCCTCCATCGCCAAGCTCCATGGAAGGGTCAAAATTTTGGGTAGCTTCTTCAAGTTCTTCATAGCTAAAAACTTGAACTCCAAAATAAAAACTCTTCTGCACCGAGTGAAACTTGGAGGTAGGGTAAGAAGGAGCAGTTTGAGCCATATTAGTTGTAGTTGCAGACGTTGTTACATCGCCATTAACGTTAATGTTGCTTAAAGATGGCGACAAGAGGTTCTTGCTTTTCAACTCTTCAGCTTTTCTTTTCCTTCTTCTCTTCATGACAAAGCACAACAAAAACATAATAACAATGCCAAAAAATACTGCAACTCCAACACCAACCCCTGAGTTTCAAGCGAGAAATGAGTTAAATTTTATTCCCAACCCTTAATCTTTATCAAAATTGAGTCTATAGATTAATAGAATAGAGGTTACCTATAGCAACAGCCTTGGAGCTTTTACCTGTAAAATTAACATGAAATAAAAATGTTAAAAATGGAATCATGCATGAACATGAAAGAAATATTGATAAAAGGTGATCACCAATTCACCATATAGCCTCAGATTCAAATATGATCAGGAAACAAAGAATACTATCCCATGGTTCCTAGTGCTCAAAAACAGAGAGGATCTGGAAATATTTGACCCACCAACTACGAAATAACATGTCCATTCAAATTCTTTGTAATTCTTTTTGTGATTGCATATATTGAAGTAAACAATATTATATATACGGTAATAATCTACTGTATAATCCGTCGTCAAATTCCTAACATGCATTTATCATGAGATAAAAAATCGGTGAAATATTCAATACGTCTCTGTGCAAGAAAATCATGTGAAGTACATGAAGGCACTAGGAATTGATTGTCATAGATAGGGGCTTTGGGTCACTTGACATCTAGGACCCACCAAAGCTCTTTTTTTTTTTCCCCCCTCTCCCTCCCCCAGGACTTGACTTGCTGATAACCAAAGAAACAAGTAGCTTCAGTTTCAACCACTAACTTAGCTTACATGATTGCCTTAAAAGTCAAACATGCATGTCACACGCCTATTCAATAACCAAAATCCACGCTTCATTCGGGAAAAAAAAAAAAAACAAAACAAAATCCACGCTCCTAGTTTCTCTATGATCTGTGTTTTCCAGGTATATGAGCATATTATATTACTCTCTCTATTCTAATTTATGAGATAATTGTAAATAGAATTACACATATGATCAATAAAAACTCATTAAAAATACTTTATGACTTTATTTTTTAAAATATAAATATAAAATTTTAAAAATACTCTACAATTAATGACATTAGAGAGATAATGTCATAAGGAGAGAAGAGTGATATTGAAAAAATATATTTAATAAACCTTATTTTTATTAAATTATTTTAAATTATTTAATAGTTTATATTTTGAGATACAAAATCACTTCCGAAATTATCTTATGATTTTTCAAGATAAAATACCTTAAATTATGCCTTTTTATTTATTTTTTAAAAAAATTATAAAAAAGAATGGTAATGTTCCATCACCATAAGATATCAAAATATATCTCTCATTTTTATGAAGAATCAAATAATCAAAAGAAAAATAAAAAAATGGGAAGGTCAGTACATGAATTACATAAGATACATTAGAGGAATGGAGTATTAGGGGTCCAGATCCTCTACGCGGCCAAACTCTCAGCGGCTCTCTCTGACTCCCCCCCCCCCCAAATCCCATTTCCACTTCTAAGGAATTTCAAATTAATCTAAACCCCTGCTAGATAGGACTGTATCATCAACGATAGCTTCACATGTATTTTGATATGCTTTTTCATATTTATCTAAGATGATTGCATGTTTCAAGACTCAAACTCTATATTATAAGATAAATTGATTTAACTTCCTCAATCAATTTAACCAAATGACCTCAGTAAAATAAACAAATAATTTTAAATGGCTAAAATTTAACCTGCTCAATTTATAATTGTAATAAAATAAATAAAAAAATATTTTAATTTATAAAAAATTCAATAGCAATATGTAATTGTAAACTGGGCTAGTTAAATTTTAACAGTTTAAAGTTGTTTTTTTTATGACAATTATTTTATAAAACAATTAAATTTTTTTGATAAAAGAACAATTAGATATGAATCATTGATTTTATTATTCAAGGGTGGAGATGAGATGAGGAGAAGAAAAGGAAAAAGAGGATTTTGAGAGGATATGCTTCCGAGTATTAGAGGCTCATGTCCAAAATATACCTAAACTCCACCTAACATGAAAGAGTCATCATCGGAGAATATATTTCAAATATCAAACTTTGAATCTTCTAGATGCAAGGGGCTGCGACAGTATACGTGTGAAATGTTCGCATGCGGGGTCACTTCAGCTAGAGAACTTAAATAATAATTAAAAACATCATATGCTTTGTCAAGATTACTTTTGTTTGGCTTGCTCACAGAGGCTGAAATTTTCTACATGCCAAAAGTCAAAATTCATCATCAGCAACCCACAAACAAATTAAAGAAGTGGATTCAATTGGCGTGGTCATGCTTGGAAGAATTAAAACAATATCTTTTAACTAATCAATTAAGCTAGGCTAAGGCAATTTAACTCCATGGACATGGTTTCTAATATATCGAGCTTTTTTGTCATGGCCTGTCTAGGTGCTCACAAAAAGTAAGCTTATTTTATGTCCTCCTGGATACATAGACTAGGTGCACTACGACCATTTCACCTAGGGAGAATACAATTAAACCCTTTTCAAACATGTAAAACACTGTTGCATGATAAGAATGATTCATCATCATGACCCCAAGAGTTAATTCATCTAAACATGCGTCCATCTTGATACATTGTTGTCTAGATCCAATTTCCATGGACATGTATAGGAGAGATCTATTAAACTTTTGTGGAGTTAAGTATATCTTAAGCTTGTCCTTGTATCAAAATAGTTTAATTAAGCGAATTTGACAGGACTTACTTTAATTTAAGAGTATATATTTTCAATTCATTCTTTAAGTAATTCATGAAAGATTTTTAAATACACTCTAATAAAATCAACATACCTGAACACGTAGTTCCTTGACGCCCGTTGCTGCAAAAACATGTGAACTTATTATTAATATACCCGCACTGCCCCCCAGAATTGACGCAATTGTTGTATTGCTCGTTGTTAACACTCCATCCCAACTCAAAACCATCTTTTATTGCGTCTTCAATTTCCTTTTCATCGGAAAATATCAAATTAACATTGGCACTCGCTATAGGAACAACAACGACCTTGCAAATTCCTGTTAGATCAATATTGTAAGTAGATAAGCTCCCGTAGTACACCTTTTGCTTCGAACACTCTGCGCTAGATGAAGTGGTGAATTGACCCGCTGAATTGAAACTCTTGATGCAATCATATAGCAAGGCAATGTCTTGAAACCCATCGGCAAGCTTGAAAGAGGTGCTATCAAAGCTAGTGTTTAAGTACTGATTTGGACATAGAGTTTGCCAGTAATCATCCCTAGCCACAGTGAGACTCTTATCACTCAAGTTGAACTTGAGAATCCGATAAGTGACAGCGTTGAAGATCAGCTTTGGAGTATTGTCTTGGCAAGCAAGTTGGAAACCAGGCTGACCACAGTATTCTGCTCTGTTTTCTCCCCAGAATGGATATCCAACGTTGTCGACGGTTCCACAGCTGATCCGGCTGCTACAGTTTGTGAATCTATCATCAGCGCCAACGGTTATGATGAAAAGTAGAAGAAGAAGAAGGAAGAAGATGAAACATGAGGCAAGAGAATGATTCATTTCGTAGGGGACCCGTAAAAAAAAATATGAACCTACACTGAGAAAAAAAAAGGGGGTCTGAGAGTTATGAAAGTATGAAACTGAACTGAGGAAGATATACTGTACACGAAAGATATGCCTCACATCAAGGCCTTTGAAATTTTCAGTTTTAGTGGGAAGCTTTAAGTTTGAGGAAAATGACGAGTTTGATTTAGTCTTCATTTTGATCGATCTATCGCTCGTTTTATAAGGATTCTAGAGAACGTGTAATATCAGCAAACGCCCATAGATGACGTTCAAGAAGCTGGACAGAGTCAGAGATAACTGACTTTCAGAAGATATGTGATGTGACAAAGTGACCAGGAATGAAGGTGTTGGATTCGGGATCGGTCCTTGAATGGTCGGATATACAGATATTTCATTCACAATCGTTTCATTATAATTACATTGATAGTTTTTTAAATTAAGCCACCCACCCATATTATAAATAGAATTGGTTGCGATGTTCGTGGGAAGTGATGTGACAAATTAAAGTAATCAGAAATGAAAGGGTAATACAAACGTTAAAATAGACCAAACGAACAAACATTATGTATCTCAATTGCTTAGAGATTATACTAACTTAATTAGAGATCATGAGTTTGAATGTGGGTTTGCAATTACATTAAATGTTTGTTTGGAGAGGGCTTTCTGCCTTAGAGATTTGAAATGACTCGATTTAAATTAGTCAATGTCTAAAAGACTCTACAAGGTGCAGTTGCAAAAAAAAAAAAAATGAAAATGAAAATGGCCAGTGTGAGGAGGAACAATTCAACATTGTTGCAGGACTTTTTAATCACTCGGGGTGGCGGGTAAGACTGATTCATCGACATTTATGTATATTGCAATTTATTTTATCATACACGGAGTCTCTTAGAGTCAAAAGTTTGAAATGCAAGAAACATAATAGCATCTGTACCACCTACCAACACATATAAACTGACAAAATAGTGACAATCAAATGAACAATATATAATGAAATGTAATATCATAAATAAGTAAATTTCTAAAGAGTAAATTTAAAAAAGACTTCGTTTTTATTTCAGTTTTGTGAGTATCATACTAGACCAGCTGGTTCAACCAGACAGAAAATAGGTCATATATCTGGTATACAACTCCTAAGAATTGGTGGAAAATCAGTTCCTGATTATATTGGTTAATTTATTTAAACTGAAAGGGATTTTATTTGCATGTTTGAGTGAAATATTTTTTTTCGTGTCCAAATATTGATAAGATTGTTACATATTAATCACTTAATTAATTCATTAATTCTCTGAGTGTGGGACTTTATAGGTATGATATAACTTCTCATATATATGTACTAGCCTGCCTAAACGTTTCTCTTTGACAGATGATGCTCCGAAAAAAGTAGTCAATTTCAACTCGTGCGCTTTTGATTGAGAAGTTTTATCAGAAACAGATTGGTTAATTACCTGAGAACTGAAGGATTAAATCTAATTAAACCATCTGAATTTTATTATTTTTAATTTTTTTATAATTTAAATCATTATTTTATTTTATTTGGTTTATTTTTTAATTTAAAATAGAATTATAAAATTTATAATTATAAATAATATTTAATCTTGAAACATGGGCACATATGATCATTACTTTAGAAAGATTAATGAAATAGCGGGGCAGTTGAATGTCCAAATTCAGAATTAAGGCTGCCAGCCTCTCCTTAGTTATTAGGTTCTAGAAGGTGTAAAGAAGACGCCGTTGAACCGGTCGATGTGTTGAATCAGCAATTTCTTAGGTTCACGTTCAAAAATCATTTATAAATAAGAATCAATATAAAATAAATTATTATTAAAATAAAAATATAACTTTTTTTAATAAGATTTGTCGTTAGTGTTTTTTCATAAATAATTTTATTAAGTGGTCCTTAAATATAATTTTTTTTATTTGGTCAAAGTATTGTGAGGCTTTATTTAAATTTTTTCTATTGACACGGCATGTTAAAAGCAAATAGAAAAGAAAATTACTATTAAAGTACATTAATTAAGGAGAAAATACACGCACATAATATCAACTCTCTATGTTGTGGATGATGAAAGAAGAAACCAATCAAATGATATTTGAGGACTCGATGAGAGAATGAATTATAATTACAGTACAGGATTTAAATTTTGAAAATTTAAAAAAAATTAAAGGAAAAATGACAGTTAAATTTTAAAAGAATCAATTAATTCAAGTTGAGTTTTAACCAATTTTAAAATACCAATAAATTAAAGTTCTTCAGTCCTTTGGTGGTAAAATATTAAATTTAACAGTTTTAAGGATTTGCAAATTTAGCTCCCCCATTTGCAATTTCTTTTTTAAATTTTAATAAAAAATACAAATGTTCATTTTTAATATTGAAAATATTAAGTCTAAAACTTTAAAAATTTACAAATTTGACTTTTAATTTTGTAACTTTATTATGATACATTTACAATTTATTTTTTAAATTTTAAAGGCAAATGCAAATATTTATCTTTAATATTGAAAAATATTACTTCCTCCGTTTAAAAATATGAGACATTTTTAACTAAATTTCACCTCCAATAAAGTAGTTACTTACTTTCAAACTAACCTTATCATGTTTACCTCTATTAAACACCTTACAATAAATATAGAGTTACTATTAATGGGGACACTTTAAAAAAAGTAATAATTATACCTCAAAAGATTAAAAATGCTTTATATTTTTGAACATTCAATTCTTCAAAAAATGCCTTATATTTTTAAACGGAGAGAGTAAGTCTAATAATCTTAGGGATTTGCAAGTTTTGCTTCTAAATTTGCAATTTTATTGTAATGCATTTGTAACTTATTTTTTAAATTTTAATAGGAAACACAAATGTTCATTTTAATATTGAAAAAGATAAAAGGCTTAATAAATATTGCTTATTCTTCAATTCTATTAAAATTTAGGGAACAAGTTGAAAATTTATTATATAAAATTATAAAATTTGAAAGTCGAACTTGCAAATCGTAAGAGCTGTTAGACTTAATACTTTGCTACTAAATGATCAAGAGATTTTATTCACATTTTGAAATTGGTCGAGATTCAACTTGAATTAATTGGTTCCCTAAGGACCTAACTATCATTCTCTCAAGATTAAAAATCCTTCAATGGAATTAAATGTTTTTTGAGTGAAATTTTTTAGCACTAATGTTTGATCTTTTCATCAGTATGACCATTATTTTTCTTTTTTTAATATTTAGCTTTAATTTTTTCCCATTACTTATCTTCAATATTTTCAGTAATAAAAAAATTAAAGGTTAATTCTGAAAACATAAAAATGAGTATTAAAAAATAAAAAAATATTGAAAGAATTATAGATAAGTACTGAAAATATCAAAGTTTAGTATTAAAAATAATAAACATGAGTATTGAAAAAATTATTTGGAAATATTTTAACTTCAACAAATCCATAGATTTTTTTTTTGAAATATAAAAATTAAAGCTAAAGATGATCATCTAACCAATATCACTACCAAAAAAAACTGTGATCTACTCCCTCTATCCTTATATATAAGAGATTTTTAAGAACTTTTTTTAATTTTAAATATAAGAGATTGTTAATATATTTTTTTTATGAATGATCCATTATACCCTTATTAAATTGAAAAGAAAAAAGATAAGTACTCTTATTAAGTTACTTTAAAAAAGACATTCATTTTTTATTTATAATAATTAGAGGCAAAATTAGAATATTGTTGTACCTTTAATTAGATAACCAATATTTATTGGTTTGTATAATTTGGTTAAAAACATCATATACATAAAGATAGACAAAGTACTCCCTTTGTTTTGTATTGTTAGAGAAATTATCACTTTTCACTTGTATTTTTTTATAAGCAAAATAATTAATTTCAATAATCATTTATTATATATTTTTTAAATCACCCATCATAATTTACATTAACGAGAAATAATTAATACATGTTTATATTGATTAACACAGGATATTTTACTCTAAGTTTTTATGTTCAGATATAATTATTATAATTAACTAATTTTTTTAAATTGTGTGATGTAGTTTTTTTTTATTTATAGAAATGGAGGGAGTAGAAGGGTCCGTTTCACGTTTAGAAAGCAAAATTTTACTTTCAAAAAGTTGAAAGTTATTTGGGTAGAATATTTTGTAGAAAGTACATTTTGAAAGTACATTCAAATAGTAGCTGAAAGTAAATTTCTAAAACATAACTATTTGAAGCTTTTGAAAAGTGAATTTGAAAAGTAAGATGTTATTTGACCATACTACCTTAAATTTAATCTCTTATTCTTTTATTTAAAAAATAATTAATTCATTAAAAATATAATGATTATTTTAATAATAATTAGGTATCAATTGTTTTAGTATTATAAATTAAATAATTAATCATGTAATTTTTAGCATTAATGTATAATAAAAATTACAAATCTTTATTACATCTTTTAAAATTACAAATTAAAAAAATACAAATAACTAGAGATCAAATTTTTAGCATTATAAATCAAAATTTATGTTATTTAAAATCTTTATTACATTTTTTAAATATTTCAAATATATTACATGTGTATAATACAAAATTATAAATCATTATAAATCAATGTCTTTTTTGGTAATTGTATATTTTAAAAACACATTTCACTATCACAAACCAAACAACTTTCAATGTATCAAACTAACTTTAAAAAAATATATCTAAACATAAATTTCATTATAACAACTGACTTTCACTAAATTAACTTTTACCAAATAGACTTTTACTAAATGAACTTTTAACAAACTGAAAGCCAAATGCATATGTAATTAAGCAATGAAAGAAGCCTCCATAAGTATACTTTAAGAGATTTTAATGGGGTTGTTAGAGGACACCAAATTTTATCATCATTTTGATTAGAATCAAGTTTGTAAAATAGATACTCCGTTAAAAAATGTAAGGCTTTTTTAACTGAATCTCATCCCTTAATAAACTAATTTCCTACTTTCCAACTAACCATTTCTTTTTATATTTACTTTTATTAAATATCTTATAATAAATATAAAGTCATTATCAATAAGGATACTTTAAAAAAAAAAAAGCAATGATTATATCTCGAGAGACTAAAAATATCTTATATTTTTTTAACATTCAACTCCTCAAAAAATACTTTATATTTTTTAACAGAAGGATTAGGTTATTGCCAATAGCCTTGTACTCGA